AACATTTGAAGAAATTTGGTTGATATACACTTTAAAAAATGTTTTTCAAATGTATTGGAAGAATAGAGTTCTAAACCGCTGATGTAAATGAAATGTTTCTAATTATTTTTCAAATACCTGATTTGCATGTATCGGTTTTGAGAGTTAAATATGCAATTTATTAAAATACCAAGTCTTTTCCTTAAATATTTCGTGTAAAATCTACAAAACATTTGGAAATAAAATTTTGATGAAGAATTCGTACAAAAAACAAGAATATACCTATTGTTGATATCTTACACACATATTTGGCTGTATGGGGAACATGGGGAACTAGTCCTCTCCTCATTACTTCCGTTCAATAAGCTTTTTACGGAGTTGGCAACCTTGTTGATTTTAATATAAATGGAATGTAGGGTAGATTTTATAGAACGTTTGTTTTAGGTAATTCTTCGATTTGTTGGTATAGATCTTATCACAAATATGTCAATGAAAGATTATTTATGAGAAAAAGGTCGAAAAATCCCAGGGGTCTATATCGAAAGGTGGGAGGTCCTGTCCTCAATCACCTGTGCTTAGAACAAGAAAGAATGCACAGTTTGAGAGATTTATCTTTGTGTGCATATCTTGCGCTTGCCTAATATAGTGGATGTCAGAGACTCTGCTTGGTTAGATGTATTCATATGTATTCATATATGACACCTTTAGTCCAGATATCCAACAACTCCAGCCAAATCACAAGCAGTGTTTGAAACTCACTGTAAAATTAGCTAGACATGAAGGGCTGACTGCTAGTTAAAGTTGTCAGCCCTGCCAAAAATGTACCAACCCCGAAAAAAATTATTGTCTTTTTTAAGTTCGTTTTAACAAAAATGTTAATGGGGCCAGCTCACCATATAATTATTTGATCCTGTCCTATAAGCTGATGAATTCCTACACATTTGCTTGTTACACTGGTCAACCAGTAATATTACTTGATATGAGAGAGTTTTTTCAAATATCTGAATTTTAATTCATAGAAAATTTTACACGTCCAGGCGGGCGTCAATACGTGCAAATCTGTTTGCCCGTGACAAAATTTGTGTGTCAGGGGCGGTCAGGCGCACGGTTATTTCAAACACTGTCACGAGGGATTCAAATTATGACCTCCATGGTACAGGGTGGCCAGGACAAGATATTCTCTATTTTTTGTTAGGGCTGGGACGATACAACTTTTTCTATATCGATACGTATCACGATATTTGAGCCACGATACGATATGTATCACGATATGTTTAATTCCTTATAAAATCTTTTTTTGCATTGAAATAAACAAATTATTTCTTTGCAAATAAGAATAATTTATTCAAAATAATTGTTAATATGTTGTAAAACAAGAATATTTTACTCAAATGGTGTTAATTATTATTTATTTCATATCTACATTTATATTTAACCTATTTATTTTATATATTAAACCCCATATGTTAAATAAACAAATAAAAATAGAAGTCAGATTTTCATGGGCGATATTCCGATATTTCTTCATATGTATCGATATGCATATTGTCCTTACATGTATCACGATATAACGATATCTCGATATATCGTCCCAGCCCTATTTTTTGTGATCCAGTTTGAAAAACTGACAATTCTTGTACTGAACCTCAATTCTCATGATTTAATCCATTTTAATCTTTATTTTATTTCAGATGACATAACAGACATTGAATTTGCTATACCATATGAATGTTCAAGTTGCAAAAATAATACAGCAGAGTTGAAAAGGTATGGTTCATCTTGTTTATATAAACATTTTTTATGTTTATATCCATGTTCCTGCATGTATATGTATATGACAAGGAAATCAAAGAGGAAAGAAATTTAAAGAATATCACTCCACCCGTAAAAAAGTGTTCAATATGTAAACTGATGTATAGCAGTGTGTTAATTAGCAATTTCTAGGAAAATATTTTGATATGGTTATATAAAGGACTTTCTGTAACAAATTTTCAATTCAGACAGCATGCTTGTTTTGATAAGAGAATTTTAAGCACAGAAGTAGCAAGTTGTGTGGAATTGTTAAAGCACATTTTCGGAGATGGAAAAAAAAACTTTCAAAAAAAAATTATGATCTAGCTGTAATTTCTACATAAAGATGTTGGTTTCCTGTTTTTCTTTACAATTAAAAAAAATATTTTTAGATATCTGAAGTGTCTTTCAAGTGAAGCATTACCCACTACACCACACACCATGGAGCTTTTTGACCAAGTTTTTGTAAAAGGCCATTTTCAACAGAAGAATAGGAACAGTGCATTTATTATGATGAGGTGAATTTTCTGATTGTATACAAGTAACTATAAACATGATTAATTAAATGTATGCTGTTTAAAAAACAATCCTTTTTCTGTTGCAGAAGTATAAAATAGTAGACCAAATCATTTACAAAGTAACAAGGAATAAATGTGAAGATTTCTGAAAATAAGATTTTTTTCTGTATGCTTTGCATAGAACTTGGAGATGATTAGGATAGTGGTCTGTTAAAAAAAGAAATTGGTTTTACTTAGTACAGTTATCTCTCTATTCCATTTAACATTGCTCTATAAATCTGAAAAATATAACATCAGATTTGGCTGATCACGAACCAATTGATGTTATAATAGGATGATGGAATACAATGAACGTTTCTTAAAAGAACTTCATAAAAAGCTTGCTTAATTTAATATGTTTAATCCTTACTTGTTCTTATTAATAGACAGTGGATGAATATTATAAGCAGTCCTGATATCACCTTTGGTAAGTTCACGAAGTAGCAATGCCATGCAGATATGGTTTTTAGCTCACTTGAGCCGAAGGCTCGTCGTAAACTTTTCACATTTTCACCTTCTTCTCAAGAACCACTGGGCCAATTTCAACCTAACTTGGCACAAAGTATCCTTGGGTGAAGGGGATTCAAGTTTTTTCAAATGAAGGGCCACGCCCTCTTCCAAGGGGAGATAATTATGAATTAGAGAAAAATTAATAGCATTTAAAAAAAATTATTTCTCAAGAACCACTTTGGCCAGGAAAGATGAAACTCATGTGGAACTATCCTCAGGTAGTGTAGATTCAAATTTATACAAATCATGACCCCCGGGGGTAGGGTGGGGCCAAAATGGCCGATCAAAGTTTAACATAGGAATAGATAGGAAAAATCTTCTTCTCAAGAACCAGTGGGCCAGGAAAGATAAAACTCATGTGGAATCATCCTCAGGTAGTTTAGATTTAAGTTTGTTCAAATCATAACTCCCAGGGGTAGGGTGGGGCCAAAATGGCCGATCAAAATTTTACATAGGAATATATAGGAAAAATCTTTAAAAATCTTCTTCTCAAGAACCAGTGGGCCAGGAAAGATGAAACTCATGTGGAATTATCCTCAGGTAGTGTAGATTTAAGTTTATTCAAATCATGACCCCCGTGGGTAGGGTGGGGCCAAAATGGTCGATCAAAGTTTAACATAGGAATATATAGGAAAAATCTTTAAAAATCTTCTTCTCAAGAACCAGTGGGCCAGAAAAGATGAGACTCATGTGGAATTATCCTCAGGTAGTGTAGATTCAAGTTTGTTCAAATCATGACCCCTGGGGTAGGGTGGGGCCAAAATGGCCAATCAAAGTTTTACATAGGAATATATAGGAAAAATCTTTAAAAATCTTCTTCTCAAGAACCAGGAATATGAAACTCATGTGGAATCAAGTTTGTTCAAATCATGACTCCCGGGGGTAGGGTGGAGCCAAATGGCTGATAAAAGTTTACATAGGAATATCTAGGGAAGCCTTTTAAAATCTTCTTTTCAAGTTTTTTAAAGCCATGCTTAGTGATATTTATAGGGAATCATACTCAGGTAGTGTAGATTCAAGTTTGTTCAAATCATGACCCCCTGGGGGGGGGGGTTTAAAATTCAAGCCCCTCCCCACACCTTCAGTAAACTTTCAGTTCTGATCTGATATGTGCTTTTTCCTAGCCAATTGCTCAGGTGAGCAATGTGGCCCCTGGGCCTCTTGTTATGATGTATTCATTAATTTCTTAGAATGTCCATGGATACAAATTGAGCTACATGTATATTTATTTGCTTCTCTAAGCCATAGTGATTGCCTGATGCTGATTGAAAAATAATTTTTCCATGATTCAAAACAGTGAGTTGAAAGCCAACCAGTCAAATTTTTTTGCAATTTTTTTTGTTTTAACAATATACAATTACACTATTGTTGTTTGGGAGATCAATACTAAGATTTATCCATCTGAGGAGTACTTGCACAATATTCACTGAGCCTGAAGGATAAGGTGAATATTTTACTTGGAATATTACTTATTATTTGCCACAAATTTTATTAGTTTGCATGTAACTGCAAAATAAATTTAGTTTAAAAAAAGAAATAAAAACAATGTAGTTATAATTCATTTGTATGGTCTTAGATCAAGTTTCTTTTTTTTTCTTTTTAGAACAGTACCTCAAGTAAAAATTGATGTCTTTTGTAAATAAATTTTCTCTAATTGCATAGACAAGAATGTATGTTAATTTTATGTTTTCATATTTTTGTGTAGTGCACTATTAGTATTATACAATTCATGTGTATAGCATTTTGTGACTGGACCTCTTGAAAATATTGAAGCTTTCTTTTCAGATACCAAAAGCAAGGCAGAATATCGACAGGACATTGTAAAATTTTTGGAATTTATAAAGTACTTCATTGCAAGGTATTAAGTGATAGTGATAAAAGGTGTAATAGTGAATTTTGTAGCAAAATTTTGATTTTAGTGATTCGTCTTTAAAAGTTGGCTTTTATTTTTTAAAAAGTAACTTATTATAAGTGTGATTTTATTGTTTAAAAAAATTAACTACTACCCCAGATATAGAGCCATTTTTCCATCTTCATATTTACATGTGCATTAACAAATGTATTGTTATTATCAACATACATGTATCTATGCACTTGTTCATGGAAACTGCTTTACACTGAGTTCAGATTGGATTCTAGATAAGTTTGAAATTCTTTCTTTTCCAGGCTTTTTGAATTGTAAATTTACTTTGTGTTTATTAGTGGTGCCAACAGAGATGTATATGAGGCCTTGGTGAAGGAGATCCATGGTATTCTACTGTACAGTGACAGACTGTCAGAATTTGATCGGGAACTTGTAAGTCATTAGTTTGATACAAGTACTGTAGTATTTTGTTTTTACTGCTTTTTGTTTCTATTTCTCTATCTACTATTGTCCATTATTCTTAAAATAAAATCTTGAAAAGATTTTGCTGATTAATTGATATATCTGTTTTAAAACTGTGTTTCCTCTTTTCTGTCAACAAAGAGAAAAATCAAAATAATAACTCTTGACTTGTTATACTCTCTGTAAATGAATTGTTATTTTTGTACAATGAATATAATTCTTTCATAGATAATGAAATAAAGAAAATATAAGTTTTCACAAAAAATTCATGAAAATTAAAAAATATATATAAAATCCAATACTATTTTTCTGTTTCCTATAATTTTTGTAGTCGGACTGCAGTGATCATGAAGTCAACCATTTCCACTCTTGTCTGGATGTTTATGTTGGCGTTCTTAAAGTTCTTCATATTATAGAAATCAAATCAACAGGTAGGAACGATACTGCATATCATAAATGTATTGGACTCATCAATTAATCAAATATCTTACTTTGATTAATTAAGTTTGTGAATACTGTCCATGATTCTAAATACTGGAAACAACTTATATTTGCTTGCAAGAAATATCATTCACTTAACAGATTTTCTATTATTTGCTAATGCAGGTATTATTTATCCAATTTTGTAAAAAAAAAAAAAAAAAAAAAAAATTCCTTGCTCAGTCACAAAATAAAATACCTGTTAATATATTCCAATATCCGAAATCTCAGATAAAAGTTGCGGCCAATAGTAAGACTCTTGAATAAGAATGTATGCATTTGTGTGCAATGTATTAAAGGTATTTGAAGTTATCATGCGATTGAAAATTAGGTGTGAAGGTTTCTTTTTCATTTAAGATACTACCGGTATTTTTTTCATAACATAATACATGTACATGTACTTTTTTTTCATAGATTTTTCCAGCAGCTGGTTTCCAAAACGATGTGTACTGGGAAATCAGTACACAGACGCTGGTTCAAGCTTTGACTCAATGGTTCATTTGTTGGTTTGGGAACTTATTACGCTGTCCAAGAAACTGTTTAAACAGGTATGTTAGGTCAGTGTCTACATCTGGAATGGAAAAAGATGCTCATTTTCACAATCCCACTCCTAATGTTCTTCACAAATTCAAAATAGGTACCTACAGTTGCCCATTTGATATTGAATTAGCCAATGTTGACAAATATGGAAAGTGTTTCAAAATACATTTATCTGCAGCATATGCATCATATGGCAAATTTGCATTTCAAAATCTCTCTAGCATTCAATGTGTTGAAAGTCCTTACACGAACTTTTCAACAACAAAAAGGTTTTTAAACAATCAACTACAAGGATAATTTTGTTTTTACAGTAAGTAGAATCAAGAAAAATTGAAAATGATATGGATTAAATATACATATATACATGTACATCACAGTTGAAGAGTTTAATGTCAGTCTTGCATGGTGATCTAATAAACATTTAATTTCTTGACACATTTTACCTCAGTGTTTTAGAGCATTGCAAGCTGTAAAGCAGGAGATCCATTCCAGCAGGAGTTTTTCTTTGTGATTTTAAACTTTGAATCACCTCATAGTCTCAATGGTTTAATCTATGTATAGTAATTTCTCATTCTTTTGCATCAAAAGTTCAATTGCAATCACAATACTATTTTTCTTAAGAAGTTAACTTTAAAGGTTTAAAATGATAAAATCTACACATCTGTGAGCTGCTTTTCTTTAATAATTTCAGTCTTCTCTCCAAGAACTACAGACAAAATCACCCTTTGCATGTCCCTGCTTGATAGAAGTTTGGAAACATATTAAAATGTTGGTAGATCACGTGCATCAGAAAAGCAAGGAAGAGGTCAGTGCATGAAGATACATGTACAGTCAAACTTTCCTAATTCAGCCACCACTGGTTTCAAAAAAGTTGACTGAATTAGACAGCATTCCGAATTAGACAAATTTTAAAAATTGAAAGTACTGAAGGGGAGTTTAGGTTTACATTGTATAAAACCAGATTTCAGAATACTAGTATACAACACCTGGATTAGACAAGTTTTCCTGTAGTTACATGAATATCTATTTAAGCTTTACTTTATACTAGCATTATGTAGTTCAGGATGAAGAATAGGGATGAAATGATCAGATAATAAGAATTTTAATCGGAAATACTACAAACCAAAGAACTTTTTTGAAGAAAAAAAACTATCACCAGCTTGTACATTTGTGTTGTTCATCCAAAGCATATGTCACATTAGATTTTTTTTCAGTTCTTTTATGAGCTTCTGTTTGATATAATAAGAAGAATTCTCCAGCAACCTGATGCTGCCAGTGGAGATGGTAAGAAAAGATAAGCATATATACAGTACATTCTATCAGGGTACATGTATATGTATACATACATTGTATGTACACTTACATACATTCGTTATATACTGTTTATTTCTATACTGTATCTTTCAAGAGGCAGGTGTAAGAATCTCACTTTTGAATGTAAAATACACTTTTTGAAAATAGGAACTCTGTGCATCCTTGGATAAAATGATGGAAAAATATATTACATGTAGTCTATTGAGAAATGAAAATTATATTGAACATTCCTTCATTTCTGTTGAATACGTACTGTATGACATTTACAGAAAATGGTCAATGATGAACACTTGAGATTAGAATATTGTATCTTAAGCCAATATTTTGATATTTACAGAAGAGATGGACTCTGATGTTTATAAATATCCACAGAAGGAACTTTTTGTTGACGATAATGGAGAATTCTGTTTGTGGATTCTGGTTCATATATCCAAAATGGCTGGTCACATCATTCAACAGGTTAGCATGAATTTGTAATTAAAGAAAAAATGGAGGGAAAAGATATGTTTTGTTCTCACCAGAAATGGCAGATTGTCATATTCATAAATCTACACTACTTCAGGTTCTTTTAAAATATTTTGACATGTGCCAAACAACTAAATTCCCTATCCTCCACCACTAACACCCCCCCCCCCCCAATATCATTACATATATGCACATTCATTATTAGACTGAATAATTCTATACCAGTCTTTAATTATTTTCATCAATGTAAATGTACAAGTATTAAGAAAAATCTATTGTGAAGAAAAAAAATCAGTTACGTGTATTTTCACTCTAGAATATGAAAAATCAAACCTTCACTATATACATTTAATAGAAACACCCTCAAATAATATTGACTAGAGAAAAAATCTTGGAGATGCATATTGATATGTATATTTTTATTTCAGAGTTTGGGTCAAAAGATGAAAGAGATTATTTCAACTGTTTTAAAATCTTGTTTATCAAAGGTAAGTTTTAAAATGCATCATCCACAAACATAAACATCTTTTCATCCTTTGATCGTACAGGAGGGGCACTCCTCAGATTAATTTGACTTTTCAGGACAACGTAACAGAGTGTCAGCTTCGCTTTGTGGTTGGTTTGTGTCAAGATCTCCATGCTGACACAAAGGCTGGCATACTTAACCTTCTTTGGGAATGTTTTTACAAGAAAATGGTTTGTATCTTTAGAATATGAACAATAGAATGTTACTAAAATTTCCTTAATACCATAATTAAGCTGAGTCAGAGATCCGCGCTTTTCTAATTAAAGAATGTCCAGCAACTCTCTGTTTATCTGGGTGTCATGATGCAGCAAATATTTCACAATTATTTGTTTATTCTCCAAAACAATTTTGACCAATTTTATAGGTCTTTTACAAACATCTTTTGGAATTTAGTACAATAACTGGTACCGGTTTTCAAAGAAATGGTAAATTTCCAAACAATTTTTGGCAGTGTATTGCAACAAAGAACTAATGTCCAGCCCTATTTATGCTGTTACAGATGTTGAAATACATGTAATTTCTCATTCTGCTTTTTCTTTGATTTTACAGAATAGCAGTTTTTTCTTGAATACAAGGAGCATAGATTCTGTGGGAAGACTATGGTATATGTTAACTGTGTATGATGAGAGAAAGTTATCTTATCGGTCAAATGTGAAAGCAAAGTGAATTTTGTTACCATCATGAAAATTAGGTGGATCATTGTAAATAGGTCACAAAGTGAAGTTGATTGCCAGTGTAACCTGTGAATTGTTAATGATAAGTGTTTTGGTTATTATTTACCTCATTTGTATTCTATAACAATGTTTCGACCTACATCATGTGTCATGCTACAATATAATTATGATAATTATAAATAAAACACTTTGTTTTTGTAGCAAGAGTGCTGGTCAGCAGTTAGAATTGTGCACCAGAATAAGCAAAGGGGAAAGGTAAATAAGTTTAAAAAGGATAGGCATAGAAGTCAATATTTCTCAGAATATTGTCCTTAAAAATCTGATAAGTGGAAGCATTAACAGTTCATTATTTTATATAGAGGCTAATTATACCCTTATTCAATTTCATTCACTGGATTTTTAGCTCTGATGAGCCAAAGGCTCAAAGAGCTAATGCTATGGCCATTTGTGCGGTGTGCATAAACTTTTTAGAATATGGGCCATAACTCAAGAACCCCTTGGCCAATCAGTACCAAATTTGTCACAGGGTATCCTTGGCCCAAGGGCTACCATTTATACTAAAATAAGGGTTGGGACCCTTAAACAAGGGGAGATAATCAGGAAAACAAAACCAAAAGTACTGGTTGCTAAAAAATCTTCTTCTCCATATCCACCAGGCAGATTTTCACCAAACTTTCATACAAAGATCAGGTTATGTCGAAGATTAAAATTTGCACGGTGAATTACCCTGGGGCAAAGGGCATGGTCTCAAGGTCACTTCAAAGTTGACCTAAATTTATAATTACTAAAAACGTGTATATTTTGCTTACTATAAGGACTAGGATCATCAAATCTTTTAACTTGATGCATCTTACGACTTCACATCATGTTAACTCAAAAGTAGGTCACGGTGACCTACTTTTAAATTTTGCGGGGATTTGTTTTCAAATTGATTTGAAGGCATATTTTTGACACTATAAGGCCTATGATCATCAAACTTTGTTAGTTGATGCATCTTGAGTCCTCGAACAATGTCAACTTAAAAGTAGGTCACCGTGACCTACTTTTTGAACTTTATGACTTATCCTTTTAAAAACATTAAATACATGTACCATTATTTCAATCACTGTGAGGTTTAGAATCATCAAATCTTGTACTTTGATGCATCTTTGGACTTTAAAACATATTTATGAAAAAGTAGGTCACTGTGACCTACTTTTTGAATTTTGCCAACATTTGTTTTCAAATTGTTTAAAACGCATATTTTGATTACCTTCAGACCTACGATCATCAAACTTGGTCAGTAGATGCATCTTGGGTCTTTGAAAAATGTTGACCAAAATAAAGGTCACGATGACCTACTTTCGACATTTTATGGCTATATTTAAGTATCTTAGGGAATCATCAAACTTTGTGAGTCGATGCATGTTTGGTTTTCGGAGAGTGACGACCAAAAAGTAGGTCACGGTGACCTACTTTTGACATTTTATGGCTTTATTTAAGTATCTCCAGTACTAATTGGCTTAGAATCACCAAACTTTGTGAGTTGATGCATCTTGGGTTTTCAGAGAGTGACGACCAAAAAGTAGGTCATGGTGACCTACTTTTGACATTTTGTGACCAGTATAATTAAGTATCTCTGGTACTTATTGACCTAAAATGATCAAACTTTGTCAGTTGATGCATCTTGGGTCTTCAGAGATTGTCGACCAAAAAGTAGGTCACAGTGACCTACTTTTGACATTTTATGCCTATATTTAAGTATCTCAGGCACTTATTGGCTAAGAATCATCAAACTTTGTAAGTTGAGGCATCTTGGGTTTTCGGAGAATGTCGACCAAAAAGTAGGTCACGGTGACCTACTTTTGAATATCTCAGGTATGTATTAGCTTTGAATCATCAAACTTTGTCAGTTTAGGCACCTTGGGTTTTCGGAGAACGTCGACCTAAAAGTAGGTCACTGTGATCTACTTTTGACATTTTATGGCTATATTTAATTATACCTCTCGTAAACGAAGTTTGGGGGGGGGTATATAGGAATCACCTTGTCCGTCTGTCTGTGCAAACGTGTCCGGTCCATATCTTTCTTACGGAGGGACCTTAGAATCTACTACTCTACACAAAGATTGCCCATGACCTAAGGGTGTGTCATGACCTTGACCCAAGGTCATTTTGGGAAGTTCAAGGTCACTGGAAGAAAAATTGCATAATTCGTGTCTGGTCCATATCTTTCTTATGGATAAACTTGGTAGGTTCTCATTTCACACAAAGATTGCCCATGACCTAAGGGTGTGTCATGACCTTGACCCAAGGTCATTTGGGGAAGTTCAAGGTCACTGGAAGAAAAATTGCATAATTCGTGTCTGGTCCATATCTTTCTTATGGATAAACTTGGTAGGTTCTCATTTCACACAAAGATTGCCCATGACCTAAGGGTGTGTCATGATCTTGACCCAAGGTCATTTGGGGAAGTTCAAGGTCACTGGAAGAAATATTTAATAATTCATGTTAGATACATATCTTTATTACGGAAAACCTAGCGGGGGATATTTTGTCCCGTTTGGACAGTTCTAGTTATATCTGGTACTTATTGGCTCGGAATTATCAAACTTAGTCAGTTGAGGCATCTTAGGGTTTCATTGAATGTCCAACAAGAAGTAGGTCACGGTGACCTAATTTTGAATATCTTAGGTACTTATTGGCTTAGAATCATCAAATTTTGTCAGTTTAGGCATTATAGGTTTTTGAATTGTCGACCATAAAGTAGGTCACCGTGACCTACTTTTGACATTTGATGGCTATATTTAATTATCTCTGGTACTAATTGGCTTAGAATTGTCAAACTTTGTCAGATGATGCATCTTGGGTTTTCAGAGAATGTTGACCAAAAAGTAGGTCATGGTGACCTACTTTTGAATATCTCAGGTACTTATTTAATTAGAATCATCAGTCTTTGTCAATTTATGTATCTTGAGTCCTCAGAAAATTTCAGTCAAAAGGTAGGTCACTGTGACCTTCTTGTGGTATTTTATGATTATATTATAATATCTTCAGTCTTAACTGGCTAAATATTATCAAACTTTGTAAGTTGATGCATTTTGGGTCTTATGATACTAAGAGAGTTGGAGGCTTCTAATAGAAGTGACTATTTTTGGCATTTTTAGAGTTAAATTTTCGGCAGAACTGAATATGTGTGGCAGATGTGAGAAGATCCAAAACAGGTTAAAGCATAAATATTATGTAATGAAGAGTTTTAGCATAAGCACTAATAATTTACCGGTACTAGGAGTGCAACGATACGCCTACCCCATAATATGATACGTATCCCGGTATTCATTTCACGATACGATACGTACATTGTATCACGATACATGACATATTTGGTTAAAAAGTCAGATGTTTGTCATCATATACTTTAAACTTTATCAAATGCTAATCCTAGGAAAGTGATGACAACCTTGACCCATTAAATATGAGGCTTGAAACAAGTTTAATTGCCGTTTCTGCAGTTTCATTGACCTCATGTTTTGTGTGGAAGCCATTTTGAAATTTTGAACGAGGAACCAAAATGGACAATTTGGATAATTACGGACTGATTGAACCGAACCATGATATCAGTTTCACATATCGTGAATTGAACCGTGGAAAAATAAATTGCGGTATACCGTGAACCGGTTTACCATTGCACTCTTATAATTTACTGGTACTTGTGGAGAAGAACCCCCCCCCACTTCAGATATTCAATCTGTGGGCTTGTTGGACATTTTCTTTACAAATTACATTGATTACACCTATTCATCATGTGTACCACAGAAAAAAAATTGTGAATCCGAAATAAATGTTCCCTCCAACCTTCCCCCCCCCCACTGTATTTTTTACAGAATAAGGATGCCACACTGGTTTGTTTTACATTATACTCCGACTGGTCATTCTGGTATTTAAAAACATGAATTTATTTTTTTTAACCTTTAATGTCTATTCACACGTCTCCTTGAAAAAGCAACGAAGTGCATGTGCATAGAGAATATCTAACCTATTATATTATAAACTTTGAGGTGTTATCAAATAGGTTATATATTCTCTATGCACGTCTGTGGCATTTAACTGTTATGGACTTTTTAACTCTGACTAGAATGCTGTTTAAAGAGATATTGTGGGATTTTTACAAGATGAGGAGTCAATCAAATAGCATGGACTATGGCAGAAATATATGCAGAGACAATGTGAATCAACATTTTAGGTGAGGGGGGGGGGGTGTCCACAAGTGCCTGTGATACAATTATGGTCTTACAACCATTTAATATGTGTACTTACAGTTTAATCAATTTAGTGCCTTGTCATGTTCCATTAATTTGGACACGGGACAAGAAGGTTTTGGTTGGAAACAGCTCGTCCAACACTTTTTTCGGCAGGCTGAGTTTCTTCCTTGCCGCCCACATCTACGTCAGCTTGTCCACTACAATAAAAAAAATGGAACTTGTTAAGGTTAAATAAATTATCCAGTTCATCTTAGCTAAAAGCTTAACAATTAAGTGAACTTTTCTGAGCAAAATCTGTTCATTGTCTGATATTTGTAATGACTGTAATGTTAAACAATGTCTGTAATATTAAACAGTTAAATCTTCATCAAATCTTTCTATCAGCATATATCCTTCAGCGCTGGTGGGTCAACTAATTACTCTAGCCTAAACATTTTTGTTAAATTCTCAATAATCAGAAAATAATGAAACTTATGTAAAAGCTTTATTGCATAGTCAGGATTTACTATAAGTTTGTTCAAATAAGGACCTCTGGGGCTGAATTTGGAAGAAGGGGGGGGGGGCAATGGGCAATTAGATTTTTACAAAGTAATATTTCGTGAAAAAAAAGCTTTAAAAATGTTCTAAAGAAAGGCAAAGACATGATTAGAAATGTACATGGTAGCATTTTAAGAGGCAATAAAACTAGGTTTGTTTACAGTTACATGCTGAAATAAATAGGGTTGGTAGGTAGGATTTTTTTTATTTTATTGAATTTTTTTAATACACAAATTTAGATGAGTTTGGTTGATTATACATGTACAGTTTTATTATTGTGTGGTGCTTTACTTTTGTTTGGGCTCTTGCCATATAGGCGATTGACACAAAAAGTTAATATTAACCATTCCATATTTGGAAAAAGACCTTCATAATCATATACACTGGCACAGGTACTTTGCCTTTTTGGAAAGGCAAAGTTGTGTGTAGAAGAAAATGCTACCTGGCACGTCATGGGTCATTAGAATAAAAGACTATTATGTAT